TGATCCTCCGAAATTGGCGCCGGTCGATAGTCGATGTGGACACGTTTTTGAAGTTTTTGGAGAGTTTCTGAAAGTGGGAAAATTGAATCAACATTTTTTTGCGGATTTTAAGGATTCAAAAATGGAGCCTAAACTTTGACAAAATTTATCTCTATTGCTGTAAGAGATTTCAAGAATACGTCAACTGATAAAATATTGTTTATGACATGATAAACATTTTATCAGTTGACAACTTTTTTGATATCTCTTACCGTAACCTAGATAAATATGCTCAAAGATACGAACTTCTATTTTTGGAGATGCTCAAAGAAAACTAGGCACCTAAATGATAATGATAAATTTCAGTCCTGATGTGATAAAAGGATTTTTTATCATTTTTAAAATTTAATTTTTTGTTGGAATTTTGAATTTTTTGACTTTCTTGAAATTCTGAATTTTTGATTCCTAACTTGTCCCATCCTGTTCTATCGTTAGCCCTTCGTCCCAGTAGCCAACCAAACTTTTTTTTTCCAAAAATCCCCCTGCCAAAGCCAACTTCCTCATTCTCGGACATTCTCAACGGTTTCCGATTATTTGCCCACCCAAAAATTTTGCGCTCTCTTTGTGATGTGTGAGCCATTGAGCCCCGCTTTTTCGGACACCTTGAGGTTCCTTTGGTACTGGTACGTACTGTTTATTTTAGGTGAGAGGTGACAGATCAATGAGAGAGAGAGAGGGAGAGAGACGCAGAGACACAAAAAGATGGAGAAATTGGAAAATGAGAGTTAGACAGATAGAGAAATTGGTTATTTGTAGCTTCTGCGGATATCTGGATAAACCAAAATTTTAGATTTTCAGATTTTTCGAATGTTTGCTATTTCTTACAAAATACATTGTTTTTCATTATTTCGATTCAATTTTCAACTTTCTAGCTCATCTAGAAGCCGAGATACAGCGCTTCGAAATTCTGGAGGCTAGAGACGCCAGACGACGAGACACACTGCGTCTCTAACCTGGGAAACTTCAAAATCGCTGTATTTCGGCTTCCAGGAAAGCTAGAAAATTGGGTTCCTACTGTAAAATACTCAATTTAAACAGTATTTTCAGGTAGTAAAGTTTTCAATGTTAAAAAATCTAAAAATGAAAAATCTGAAAATTTGAAGTGTTGCAAAGTTTTATAATTATTGAAAAATAGAGAAGTCGTGTTCTAATTCAGCCAAAAAGTGATTTCTCTAGGCTGCCTGCGAGCCGAAATACAGCGATTCAAATATTAGGAGGCTAGAGACGCCAGACGACGAGACACACTGCGTCTCTAGCCTTGGAAAATTCAAATCGCTGTATCTCGGCTCCTAGATGAGCTAGACAGTTGAAAATTTGACAGAAATGTGTGAAATTTAGAGAAGAACAATCTAAAATTGGAGAATTTCAAAACTTTCAAAATTTTTGAAAATTTTTAAAATTCCACAATTTTGAAACTCAAAAACTTAAAAACAGACTAATTTGCTTTGATTTTGTACAGGAAAACCCTTACTAGCTCATCTAGGAGCCAAGAAACAGTCGTTTTAATGATAAAGGCTGAAGACGCAGACGACGATACACACTGCGTCGCTAGCCTCCCAAACTTCAAGCGGTTGTATCTAGCTTCCTATAAGAGATATTAAAAATCTGCAAACCGATAAAATAATAAGCAATTTATCACCAATATTTCATTAGTTTACAAAATTTTGATATCTCATATGTAAACTGAGATAATTGAGTTCAAAAAATTAGCTAGTTTAATTGGAGCACATTTTAAAATTCAATTTTGGAAACCCTCATTCCGCTGTCTATACCTATACATAAATGTATATTTTTATGACCCATATATAATATATTTATATGACACATTTCAAAAGGCCACCTTCCTTGCGACAGGTCTTCATGCCTATTCATCAGAATAAAAGGGGTATCGTGGGCCGATCGCTTTTGTATGCATTCCTTCTCTTTTCTTATGTGGTCCCGTATATATAAATAGTAAGAGAGAGAGAGAGAGAGAGAGAGACGCAGACGCAAAATCTTCATGCCAAACTATAGGTTAAACGTAGTTTAACGCCTAGATTTTTAGGTGAGATTGAGGAGGCAAAAGTCGGCCGTGGCTGCAGCCAATCCTGATTATCAATTGGAATTTTAAGTAATCGGAAAATACTGACAAAACAAATGGTTTTAGTCCAAAAACCAAGTTTCTAGCTCATCTAGAAGCCGAGATGCAGTCGTTTGAAGTTTTGGAAGGCTAGAGACGCAGACAACGAGACACACTGCGTCTCTAGCCTCCTAAACTTCAAGCGGATGTATCTCGGTTCCTAGATAAACCAGAAAGTTTAAAATTAGCCAAAAACATATGAAATTCAGAGAAGAATGATTCAAGATTTGAGATTATTGAAAATGTGAAATTTCGAAAATTCTGAAAATCCCAAAATCCAGAATCTTGACATCTAGAAAAAACTTCAAGAACAGACGAATTCGCTTCAATTCTGTAAAATAATCACCTTCCTAGCTCATCTGGGAGCCGAGATACAGTCATTTGAAGTTTAGGAGGCTAGAGACGCAGACGACAAGACACACTGCGTCTCTAACCTTCCAAACTTCAAGCTGCTGTATCTCTGCTCCTAGATAAGCTAGAAACTTGATAGTTTGTACCAATTTGAAGCTCAGCAAGATTGTAGCTTGGTTTTTGTTTCAATTCATTTTTAAAAATCTTAGGAAAACACCTACCTTCACTCATCTCCATAATCGCTCTTGCAATTGCCACGTCATCCTCTGCTGCCACATCAACATCTTCTTCTTCCATCTGATTCTCGTCCTCAACTCCTCCTTTATAATACAAATGTTGAATATCATAATACTGATGAATCTGATGTGGTACATATCTCTCATTGCTCACGAACAATGGAATCAAGACATGGCGAATCGGCTCGGCGCCTTTTGCGAAGATAATCGACTGCGTCGGATTCTCGTCGAAGAATTTGCAGACGTCGTCCGGAGTGATATTTACAAAGTGTGTGGATATGTTATGATATGATGACGTGGCATTGTTATTGTTGGCATCTTCGGAAGATGTATAGAATGTGGTGACGACTAGCTTTGTGTTCTCATCATAGTTCGAGTCAGATACTCGTATGAGTAGTTGTCGTTGTTCTGGAAAAAAAATTGATTTTTTAAAAAGTTTTTTTGGCTATGCTTTTGCTATTTTTCAGATTTATACAATTTTTATAAATTTTCAACATTCCAAAGATTTTGGAAGGTATACTTCTCTTCCAGCTGGGCTACGCGGTCGACGACGTCTGCTGCCAACCGATGGACTGCCCCTACTTAAGCTCAATTATTTCGGTTCTTGTTAGAGATATCAAAAATTGGTAAACTAATAAAATATTGCTGATATCATGATAAACAATTTATCAGTTAACAAAATTTTGATATATTTTATGAGAACCGAGATAATTGAGCTCAAAAAGCAAGTATCGGGTGGCATGCGACCGCGCTAGCTGAGGCAGTGTGCCACCGTTCAGCTCAATTATCTCAATTTCCATAAAATATATCGAAAACTTATCAACTGATAAACTACTGTTGATATTATGATAAACATTTTATCAGTTGAAAAAATTTTGATATCTATTACAGAAACCGAGATAATTGAGCTCAAAGTAGAGTATATATTTTTAGGTGGGCAATTTTTTTTCGATATTTTTCAAAAAAAAAGGAATCAATATAAAATTCAGAAATATTAGCAGTCTCTGTTGAACAAAACTATCAAAAATCAAAATTTCAAAAGTTATGAGCACTTTTCAAAACTACCGTATTTCCTCGGATAGACGCCCACCGAAACAGTCAACTTTGAGCTCAATTATCTCAATTCCTATGAGAGATATCAAAAACCTGCTAACTGATAAATTGTTTATCATAACATCAGCAACATTTTATTTATCAACAAAATTTTGATATCTTTCAAAGGATTCGAAATAATTAGCTTGAGCCAAGAGAAATCTCAGCTCAAACTTGACAGTGTGGGAGCCCTTCTATTACAGGTATTGTGTCTAATATCACCCGGAAGCTTCTATTTTGTTAAAATACGTTTTTGTTGTGCTCACTACCAAGACTGCTCTCTTAAGACACGAAATGTTTAGATAGGGGGTCAAAAGAAGCAAAAACTTTTCCATTCCCATTTTCATGTTTGTTTATACGTAATTCTATGCTGTCATGATGTTTTTGTGCACCACCACAAAAACTACATGAATGGTCAGGAAGATAAAGTTTTTTGGGTGACGTGGCAATTCTTGAATACTGTATCTCAGAACCCATTTTCCTAGGAGGTGGGGCGGGGGTCCAATTTGGGGCTCAATTATCTTGGGCATTTTAAAAACTAACAAAAATTTTTACTGATAAAATGTTGGTGATAAAATTCCCATCATTTTATCAGTTGACATATTTTTGATATTCATTTTAGGGACAGAGATAATTCTGCTGAATGATGGTAGCCTCAAATTAGAAGCAGTTCTGGTATGTTTTGACTTTGAGCCCAATTATCTTGGTTGCCATCAAAGATATCAAAACCGTGTCCACTGATAAAATTATACTGACATTATGATAAATATTTTATCAGTTGACAAATTCTTGATATCTTTTGAAGGAACCGAGATAATTGAGCTCAAAGATTGAGCTGAACGGGTGGGATGGTATACGACCGTTGCTGAGCCTCAACAACGGAACGGAAATTCTAAATTTTTTCTGAGCTTTTTTTTGTCATTAGAGCGAATTTGATGACGATGAGAATTGAACGAAAATGGAAAATTACAAGAAAAATATAGGTCAATTAGATTATTTGTCCTTGCAGAAAGGAGGAAAAATATACTTCCGTGTTAAAAAATATGGGTAGAGGTGAAAAAATTTGAATATCTCGATTTCTGTGAAAGATATCAAAAAGTTGTCAACTGATAAATTATTTATCATAATATCACAAATATTTTATTAGTTAACAACTTTTTGATATCTTCCACAGGAATCGAAATAATTGAGCTCAAAGTTGACGGTATGGTTGGGCTTCGGAAATACGGTAGGTATGATTTAAAAAAAAAAGAAAATTTCAATTTAAGCTTTAAAAAATCCAGAAAAAAAAACTTGCCTGGAAGAGACGTTTGCCGATTCATCAATGTAGGGAATCGTCAGTGCGTCCTTGGGTACATACGCAAACCAACGGGGTTGCTGTGGCTGTTGACCGTCGAGACGACGACCCGCCCGACCCGCGGCCGCCGACCAAGACACCGCCCCTTTCGCGACGAACTCACTTTTTCGAACACTGCAATGAATAGAGATGAGAAGAAGGAAACACGTGAGAAATGGTATATGAAGTTGACTGGTCGGATAGAAGGGGTCATGGATTTGAAAAGAGATCTTCTTGGATGATTGTGTTTTGAGAGGAAAGTTTTCTAGATTCGAGGGTTTGATAAGAGGGTTTGGGATAGCTTTTTCAGATTATATATATTTTCTCTCTTGATTTTCTAGAAATTTTTTAGTGATTCTCAAGTTATCAAGAGTTTGGAAGTATTCTGTCAAAAGTTTAATATCTGTAACAGTAACCGAGTAAAATTGAGGTAACCTTACTCGAACTCAATTATCTCAATTTCTGTAAGAGATATAAAAATTTGTAAAATAATAAAATATTGTTCATAATATCACCAACATTTTATCAGTTGACCACTTTTTGATATCTCTTACCGTAACCGAGATAATTGAGCTCAAAGGCTGCTTCCTATCAATGGGGTACCCTAGGTTTTGCAATTTTGAGCTCAATTATCTTAGTTTCCGTGAAAGATATCAAAATATTTTTAAGGGAAAAAATGTTCATCATAATATCACTAACATTTTATCAGTTGACAAAGTTTTGATATCTCTTACAGTAACCGAGAAAAGTTGGTTCAAAATTGGCTATATCAAGCTCAATAGGAATCCTTGATTAGCTCCATTAGGGTTGGAAGTATTCAAAAACTTCTTTGAAACTTCAGATTTAGAAGTTTTGTTGCATAATCAATAGCTTCGGGAGATATTCCCATTTTATTTGTATGCTGCTAAAATTCGGGCGCGGTTACTGTAGCTCAGTTGTTTGCTAGGCGGCTCCTCCAACAATGAACCCACAAACTCGACTCCTAGAGCTTGATGAGCCGAACAAATGCATATTTTTATGCTCCCCTTCTTCGAAGCTCTGTAAAACCCAGAAATAATCACTGGTTGCTCTTTAACAGCTCAAAAACCACTTGCACTTTTCTACCCGTGTACTTTTAGCAGTACAAATACAGTAATCCCTCGATTTTCACAGTTGAACATTGACGAGTTTATTAGTCTGAATAAGTACTTAGCACATGTCCCCATAGTTTGAAAGTTTCAAAAATTGTTAACCAACCCTAGTCCTCAAATCTGGACAATTTTTAATTCCCCTTAATGCTCTAATAGAAGCCCTATGGGCGCACTTTGAGCTCATTAAACTCGGTTCCTATGGGAGGTATCAAAACTCTGTCAACTGATAAAATATTCGTGATATTAGGATAAACAATTTATTAGTTTAAACTTTTTTAAATATCTTCTACAGTAGCCGAGATAATGAAGTTCAAAGTGCACCATGGCACCTCTATGGCACCTCTTTCCAGGCTACGATTTCTCTGTTTTTTAGCTTCCAACTTCCTGACAAATGAACCTTGGGATTTCCAGCGTTTCCTGGATTACTGTACTTCCTTACAGGACTCTATGACTCCCCTATCCGATTTTCTAGGATTCCTAATCCAATTGCCACCTTGGCCTCGTCGTCGACGTCTTCCGAAAAACACTCCAAATTAAGAATTTGTTTTCAAGGGTGGCCAAGTGGGAATGATGGGTTTGGAGGTGAAGGTTAAATAGGGGCGGATGAGATGACACATGGGGGACAGATAGGTGGTTAGAAAAAAAAAGAGACAAAGACACCCTCCTTGGGGGGGGGGGGGGGTCCGAGGTGTTGGCTCAAGTGATTAAAAACGGGTGGCGGGGAATTAACCATGGGGTATTTTGGCGGGAAAAGGGGACACTTTCGTTTAGAGCTCTAAAAATTGAGTTGCAGTAATCCGATAGTTCTGGAAACTTCAGAAGATACTAAACAAAAATAGAGCTTCATTTTTGTAGTTGGCAACTTTTTAGGAAAATGACTTCCTGAAGAGATAGGTCGCTTGAAGTTGACCGATCTCTCCAGAATGGAATATTCCAAAAAACTACAAAAAAAAGCTGTATTTTTGTTTCTTATTTTCTGAAATTTTTGATTACCGTAACCCGTTTATTTTTAAAGCCCTTTCTCTTTCTTATTTCACTACCTATCTTAATTACCCAATTGTTTTTTTCTTCACCTATCTTCTGATCTCTTCCGTCTTCTAAATCTTCCCGAATGTCACACCATTTCATTTCTTTTTTCCAAGTTTTTACTCTTCTCCTTCTTCCGAAGGTCTCTTCTTTTTTCACGCCGATGGTCTCCGATCGGAGATGGGCCACGTCCTCGAAAAATGAGGTCATTTTGGAGATGTGCGTGTGTATGTGTTCTAGGAAAAAAGGAGGAAGGAGATGAAGAATCAGTGAGGTAGATAGAGGAAGGAGAGAATTAGATAGACAAAGAAAATCTAATTTGGGATTCTATGAGGCTGTGCTAGGTATCATTTTATAGATCTCGTCGAGTTCTAGACTCGTAGAAGTTCAGAGCTTTCCGGTTGATTCTTAACATGTCGTGCTCACTTTCCGATCAGCTTCTATTCAACTCAAGGCAGTTGGAATCGGGATTTCTAAAATTTTCTGTCCAATTTTCAACTTCCTAGCTCATCTAGCAGCCGAGATACAGTCGCTTGAAAATCGGGAGGATAGAGACGCCAGACGACGAGACACACTGCGTCCCTAGCCTCCCAAACTTCAAGCGGTAGTAACTAGCTTCCTATAAGAGATATCAAAAATCTGCAAACTGATAAAAATAATAAGCAATTTATCACCAATATTTCATTTCTTTACAAAAGTCGTTTGAAGATCAGGAGGATAGAGACGCAGACGACGAGACACGCTGCGTCTCTAGTCTCCCGAAACTTCAAACGACTGTAGCTCAGCTCCTAGAGGAGCTAGAGAGTTCAATTTTCTTGGGGGATATTTCGCAATTCTCGGAGGATTTTTCCTCAACCGTCTCTCAGCAAAAATCTTTGCCGTACACAATCTTGTCCGGAGGATCAATTAACTAGCGTAAAAAGCGATCACAAATCGTGTGTGTGTGTGTCTCGATTCCAGTCCCCATCTCCAGGAATTACTTCGGGAGTAGTATTCATTTTGACGTAATCGTCGAATCGGATCTTCTTGTATTTCTCGCCGGCCGCCCGAAGAACGAAAAACGAAATTTCGCCTCATTTCGTCACATCATCAAAGAGGAACTTCTTCTCAAGCCCCTAGTCACCGACAAAACGAAAACGAGTATATGTTTTGCGGATTGTGTTAACGGGTCACACAGTCAATACATTGTTTTTCGAGTGTAGAAGAATTCGAATTGGGAGAAAGAAATGATAGTGGGGGGGTGATAAACGAACGCCTAGCCTTGCTGATAAGCTGTGGATGTCATAGGAGACAAAACGAACCGTATTAGAGTGTTTACTGTAATCCTAATTATCTCGATTCCTAATAAAGATATGAAAAAGTGGTCAACTGACAAAGTATTGATCGTTTTATAAGAAATATTTTCCTCGTTGACAGATGTTTTATATCTTTCATAGGAAATGAGATATATAAGTTGGGTCGAAATTGCGTTATCCGTTTTGGATAGCTCTCAAAACGCTGCTAGGTGGACCAAGACATTTTTTTTTGGAATTTCGATTTTTCACTGATAAGTCATTTTATCAATTGAAAAAAAGTGATATCTCAAACAGGAAACGAGATAATATGGATCAAAAAGACGTCTCTTTTTTAGCAGATTTTAATAGTGAAAAAAACTTTTAAAAGAAATTTTGCGTGGCCAAAAAAAAAAGAAAAACTAAAATTTTTAACATATAGAAACAAGAAAAGTACGTGAAATGGTTCAGAAGCCCAGGAAAACTACTATAAAAGTAGAGCAAAGTGGAGGAACCAATCAGTTCTCCCTTTCTCAGGGCTCCGAGGAGGGGAGGGAGCTCCTGCTGGAGCCAGGACCCCGGGTTCGGTCCTTGGGTCCTTGGAGTCTGGGTCCAAGACCTAGAATTTATTTTTTAGGTCATGACCCCAAAAATCGAAATCTAGGCCATGACCTAAAAAATAAAATCTAGCTCATGACCTGAAAATTGAAATCTAGGTCATAACCTAAAAACTGAAATCTAGGTGATGACCTAGAAATTGAAATCTAGGTTGTGACCTAAAAATCGAAATCTAGGTCATGACCTAAAAATTGAAAACTAGGTCATGACCTAGAAATTGAAATCTAGGTTGTGACCTGAAAATCGAAATCTAGGTCATGACCTAAAAGTTGAAAACTAGGTCATGACCTAGAAATTGAAATCTAGGTTGTGACCTAAAAATCGAAATCTAGGTCAGGACCTAAAAGTTGAAAACTAGGTCGTGACCTGAAAATTGAAATCTAAATCATGACCTAAAAATTGAAATCTAGGTCATAAACTAGAAATTGAAATCTAGGTTGTGACCTAAAAATCGAAATCTAGGTCATGACCTTAAAGTTGAAAACTAGGTCGTGACCTGAAAATTGAAATCCAGGCCATGACCTAAAAATTGAAATCTAGGTTGTGACCTAAAAGTTGAAAACTAGGTCGTGTACTGAAAATTGAAATCTAGGTCACGACCTAAAAATTGAAATACTTGGTTGTGACCGCTCTCAATCTAGGTCATGACTGGAAAATTGGAATCTAGGTCATGACCAAAAATTGAAATCTAGGTTGTGACCGCTCTCAATCTAGGTCATGACTGGAAAATTGGAATCTAGGTCATGGAGCCTGGCTCCACTCAGAGCTTCCTCTCGTTCTCGGAGCCCCGAGAAAGGGAGAACTGATTCTTTCTTCCACTTTCCACTTCTTTTATAGTACTTTTCCTAGGCTTCTAAACTATTTCACGTGATTTTCTTTTTTTAAATAATTTTAAAAAGTAGTTTTTCTTTTTTTTTTGAATTGAAATCTGCTAAAAAAGAGACGTCTCTTTGACCCTAATTATCTCGTTACCTGTTTGAGATATCAAACTTTTGTAAACCAATAAAATTTTACTAATATCAAAAAGCGGTCAAAAGTTGAACGACGAATCTGAGATTATTTTTTATTTGGAGGAACACCAACACCGAAATACATTTATTTTGGAGGTCTTTTTCAGTTTGAAAAAGCCCCGCCCACAAAGACTTATCAATTCAATTCGCATAAACGATCGATACTTAATCTGCGCGGATTTTTTCAATTTTTCTAATTCTTACGATTTTTGCGAAGTTTTTGTGCCTCTACCCTGGACGCTCTAGGGTTTCATTCCCTTTAAAAAATTGCCTACCGTAACACATTCAACATTTTCATCGCATCGAATCCTCTTCCAATTGAGTGCATCTTTGCGATTCCCACAGATCCACTCACATCGACGGCTGAAATATCGATTTCAATTTTTTTCAGATTCAAAAATATACCCAGCGTTGTTAGGATCAATCCAATGAAAATGAAAACGATTGAGCATAACATGTATTCTACAGTACCCGATGGATATAAATCGCCAAAGCCTACAGTGAGCTGCAGAAAATCAAATTGGAAAAAAACACCTGTAATAGAAGGGCCTCCTACACTGTCTAGTTTGAGCTTAATTATCTCGACTCTTATGACAGATTTCAAAAAAGTGTCGACTGATAAAAAGTTTGGGATGTTATGATAAACAGTTTATCAGTTGACAACTTTTTCCTATCTTCAACAAGAAACGAGGGGCCCTTCTATTACAGAATTTTTTCGGAATCTTACCAGTGAAACTAGGCAAAAATAAAAAGAATCTAAAAATGACCACATGGGTTCCAGAATTGTGTAGACACATGCAGAAATGGTCATATAGCCAAGTAAAAAGACCAGAACCAAAAGTTGTCTGCCGGTTTTCGGGTCTTCTGTTGGATCCATTATCAACATATCAGCTACGAACTTTGCCAGATCCGCAATGGTGACAAGGGTTAAGGGGATTCTAAAAGTTGTTATTAAAAAATAAGATTCGCGTTTGAAGAGCTTCAAAATGAGTATCAATATAGGATTCTTTAAAATTTCAGAATGTCTGAATTTCTGAATTTCAGAATTTCAGAATTTTAGAATTTCAGAATTTCAGAATTTCAGAATTTCAGAATTTCAGAATTTCAGAATTTCAGAATTTCAGAATTTCAGAATTTCAGAATTTCAGAATTTCAGAATTTCAGAATTTCAGAATTTCAGAATTTCAGAATTTCAGAATTTCAGAATTTCAGAATTTCAGAATTTCAGAATTTCAGAATTTCAGAATTTCAGAATTTCCGAATTTCAAAACTTCAAAAATTCAAAAATTCAAAAATTCGGAAATTCAGAATTTCAGAATTTCAAAATTTCAGTATTTCAGAATTTCAGTATTTCAGAATTTCAGAATTTCAGAATTTCAGAATCTTAGAATCTCAGAATTTCAGAACTTCAAAAATTCAAAAATTCGGGAATTGAGAATTTCAGAATTTCAGAACTTCAAAAATTCAAAAATTCAAAAAATCGGGAATTCAGAATTTCAGAATTTCAAAATTTCAGTGTTTCAGAATTTCAGTATTTCAGAATTTCAGAATTTCAGAATTTCAGAATTTCAGAATTTCAGAATCTTAGAATCTCAGAATTTCAGAATTTCAGAATTTCAGTATTTCAGAATTTCAGAATTTCAGAATTTCAGAATTTCAGAATTTCAGAATCTTAGAATCTCAGAATTTCAGAATTTCAGAATTTCAGTATTTCAGAATCTCACCCAAAAATCGCATATCCAACACAAAATATTTTTCCGCCTGTCGAAATTGGAATCAAATTACCGTAACCGATCGACGTGAGTACTGTAGTAGTGAAGAATATTGCGGATATCATTGACCAACGGCTCGTTTCTTGTGGGACCAGAAAGTCTGAAAATTTGCAGTCAGCATTTTTTTTTGAAAATTTGAATTCGGCAAGCCAAGAGCTTCAAAATAAGTATAAACACGACCATGTTCCATTTAAAGTTGAAATTTTACATTAAAGGCTCATAGCATGTCCAAAGTTTGGAAATCCAGGAAAGTAGGTCATGATTATACTCATTTTGAAGCTCTCAGTCATTGAACTCAAAAAATGTAACCAAAACTTTTACCAGTAGGCTTCAGACCATCTTTAAACGCTCGAAAATTTATCGATGTAAACGCATCAATCATATTCTCCACTTCGGATACCGATCGATTTCCGGACGAATCATAAATCAAATTTTGCACGAAATTTTTATAAATCGAATGATAAGACTGATATCTGTCCAGCTCTGCTTGATGCTCGATTTTCGTGAAAAGGTAGGCGCCGGCGATGATGTAGGCGACAGTGGCAAAGATTAGCACCAGATGGAATAGTGCCAAACGGAGATTGGCGAGGAATCCTGGAAGAAAATTATTGATCAGCTTCAAACTTCGATTTCTAGAAGCCCACAGTTTAGCTGAATTAATCACTGGTGTTCTAACAGTCATACTGTATTTCCTATGACAAACAAAGGCCATGTTCCTTTAAATCAATTTGAGCTCAATTATCTCAATTTCTGTGACAGATATCAAAATTTTGACAACTAATAAAATGTCTATCATAATATCACTAACATATTATCAATTAACGATTTTCTGCTACTTTTCGCAGAAATCGAGATAATTGAGCTTAAACTTGAAAGTGTGGGGATCCTCTTATTAAAGGTTTTAGGTATGATATTTCAGGTCAAAAAAAGGTACAAATTGTCAGATTGTTTTGAAAATTTCAGAAAATATCAAACAAATATAGGACTTCATTTTTGTAGTTGCCAACATTTCTGGAAAGTAAATTCCTGATGAGATAGGTGGCCAAATATGAACGTTTCTCCATTGAAAGGGTCCTATCTCTCCAAGATGGGATTTTTCAAAAAGTTGTCAGCTACAAAAATGAAGCTCTAGTTTTGTTTTATATCTTATGAAATTTTCAGAACAATCTGAGAATTTTGACCTACTTAAATTTCCAGTTTTTGTTTCCTGCGTGGGAGACCCACATACCAGATGTTTGAAACCTAGAAAATTGATATGATTCAATTTTCCTGAAAATTTCTACGTAGTCTCGTATTTTTTTCTTTTTTTATGTTTTTTTGGTTAGACCCAAAAAATGATATTACGAAAATTAGGTTTGCGGCATCCGGACAAATGGAAATCAGGTCTTCTTTGAGTTTTTTTGTGTGTGTGTGTGTGTGTGTGTGTTTGTGTGAAAAGTTTTTTTTTTCAAAATACAATTTTTTCAAATTCCAATTTTCTCAAAAACCTTTCGAAACCGAGAACAATCGTTCCTTATGGTGAGGGTGAAATGGCGTAGCCATGAACACTCGCGACCGTCCGCCGACACGCTGAAAATTGGAGGGGGCGGAGCTTAGGGGGACTTTTTTTTGGGTCATTTTACCATTTTTTGGGAAAAAGCCTATTTCCAAAAAAAATGTGAGTATTAGATTCAATAGAAATAATTAAGTGAATAGGGTTTAAATGAGCAGAATGTCTTAAAAAAACTGGGGAATTGAAAAATCCAAATTTCAGATTTTTCCAAAAAAAATTGGCTCTAGACTTCGAAAACTCAAATTTTTAAAACATTTCTAGCAACATTGACATTTCAGAATTCATAGAAATCTGGATTTTCTATGTTTCCAGACACAAATAAGGTGTATTTGTTCGCAAATGTTTGGGACGGGAAGTAAACATTGCTCAGCCTTGTCTCCCCCCCAAAAACAATTGGTTGAACAATAAAAGAAAACCTCCTCACCCTCTTTCGGTCGGTCTTCGTCGTCTCCATCGCCACTGTTGTTTTCCAGAATCATAGCGTTGCGGCGTCGTGCCGACGTGCGGCCAAAATGGACCTGGAAAAGGATGAAAGAGATGAAGAAGAAGAAGAAAAAGAAAAAGCTGAGCAATCAGACTAAAAGCAACACTATTTGGGTCCATTATTTCGAGAGTGGTGGTGGTGGTCACTTATGGGTCAATACTTAATTTTCCTTTTAAAAAATCAAAATGTACGATTTACTAGGGAAGGTTGTAATTGGGGGGGGGGGGGAACTTTGGTATGAGACCTATATCATTCGAAAACTGAAAATGAGACATTTTCAAATATATATTCTGATTTTGCTGAGGAGCTACCAGTTTCGAGAAAATCGGGTTCGAAATATGAGAAATTGCTAATGCAAAGGGGGGACCCCATGGTGATTTTTTTGCGAAAAATTTTTTTTTGAAAAAAAAACCTGAAAACTTTATGGAATCATTTTCTTTTATTCAAAACTTATGGAATACTTGTGTTAAATGCTTTGAAAAACTTTTTTGAAGCATTATTCAAACTACATTTTGATTTTTGAGAGAAAGACATTTGATGATTGGTGAAAGATTTTGGAAGTTTTTTGATTTTAATTACAATTTCAAATGTTTTTCTACGATCTGACAAAGTTTTCTCGATTTTACAGAAAAAAAATTTTGACGAAAAATATCCATGGGGTACCCCCTTGGCATTTTCAAACTATTTTTCGAAAAATTTTCAAATGTGCTAAAACGAATTCTAAACAGACAAAAACTTTAAAATGAGTCTTTTAGCAATATTTGGAAGCTTTATCCTTTTCGGAATGCTTTTAATGTTTTTTCAATTATCCTACAATCCATATTTCTTCGATAATCACCCAGTAGTACTCAAAACTTGAGAAAAAAAACATAGATTCACATTATCTCTCATTGATTTGTCACTTTACAACCCCAATAACGAACAAATCTTGTGGATTTTGAAATAAAGAACTGAAAAAAGATTTGTAGTGTTGCTACAAGAAATTTGCAAAAGCTATGGAGTATGTACTTTTCAAAACTTGTGAAAAAGTAAAAAATAAGTATCCAATTAAAATTTTTCTTTGAAAAAAAATGCGTTCATAGCATTTTGAAGATCGCCACAAAAACCCAAAATAAAATCAAAAAACAATAACGCGAAGAGGAATCGAACCTACAACCGGTTGGATACTCTTCATCCCTCCTCGCCACTACACCACTGCTGTCTTGTTCTTTCACTTCCCCCAATCTATATAAGAAAGAGGGGAGGCGCGGCGCCCTTAAGAGTCAAATTTGAGCCAAATTTGAGCCAAATTTGAAACTTGATTTTCTCGAAACTGGTAGCTCCCCAGCAAAATTTGAATACATGTTTGAAAATGTCTCATTCTCAGCTTTCGAATGATATAGGTCTCATACCAAAGTTACACCCCCCAATTACAACCTTCCCTAGTTAGTTTTTTTTTTGATGCCGATGCCCACTTTTCAGGGTACCATACTATTTGAGCTCAATTATCTCAATCCCTATGAAAGATACCAAAATTATGTTAACTGATAAAATATTGGTGATATTGTGATAAACATTTTATCAGTTTATAAAAATTTGGTATCTCTTACAACAAATGAGATATGCGGATTCAAAGTTAATGGTTTGGGAGGAGGTCTATTAGAGGGTGTTTTAGCCTATGAGCTCAATTATCTCGGCTCCTATGGAAGATACAGAAAATTTTTCAACTGATAACATTTTGCTGATATTATGACAAACATTTTATCAGTTGACAACTTTTTGCTGTCTCTTACAAAAATCGAGATAATCAAGCTTTAAGGAGGAAGGCCTGAACAAACGGGAAATGGAAAAAAAGGTCTCCCGGAAAACAAAAAAAAACCAAGAATTTGAGGTGAAAGAGAACTGCTATCAATGATATTGAGCTGTCATTAAATTGGGAATTCACCTCCTAAATAGGCTCCGCCCCATTGTTATTATTGATACGTCATCAATAAATGTGACAGTAGAGAAATTCTTTTAGAAAGCTCCGCCCCTTTTTATGTACCCTACAATGGACTTGAGGGGTTAATAAACAGCAATATCAATTTAGATATGATGGCCGCGGAGAACAGAATCCTAGTCCTCATTAAAAATTTTTTTAATACCAAAAATTGCAAATTTTTGGTATTGGTCTGAAGTTTACGAAATTTCGGGAATCTAGAAAAAATGTTTCTGATTCAAAATTCATGAAAAAATTGAACCTTTTTCCGGTTTTTATTTGTTTCGGAAATTTTTGTTCCTCGAAAAATGAGTTTTGGTCAAATTGAGAGGGGTTTCTATCAAAAAGAATCGGTAGCTTTTATAGGCTTCCGACATTTGAAATCTCATAAAAATCTAGTTTTTCGAAAAGAAGTTTTCTATAACTGGAAATCCAGAATTCAGATTCTAATACTCAAAAAAGACAGATTAATCAAAAACTTATAAAAAATCAAAAAATAATTTCAGATTTTCAGAAAACTTCATTTTTTTTGGAAAAAAAAAACGTCCTCACGATTTTTCTGAATCCGAAAAAAGTCAGAAAAGAGGGTTTAAGGATTTTGGGAAAATTGCAAGAAAAATGGGCAACGTCGAAATCTTCTCTAATCGTCTTCCCTCAATTTTCGGTCGGCACCGGAAAACGTGTGAAAAGAAATTTGGTTGAGGAGAGCAAATTTCCCTTTTGAGAGGGGGCTTTTGTGTTTGGGTTTGTTGGAAGTTTTCGAAAGAGTCATCACCTAGAAATTGTTTGTGGAATAGGGTTTACGGTAGATGCTCTAACTACAGTACCGGCCGATAAAATGCGCAACAACGTATTTTTCAGATAATACTTGCCATGTTCAGAAGTCTGGAGGTCGACGCTCTAGTTTCTGATCAATTTGAAAATTTTGGAAGGTGTAAAACAGACCTATATTGGAAAGCTTGCATTTACAATAGTTTTCGAAAATTCCTAGTTTTTCAGCAATTTGTCGATTTCTGAAAGACACCCGTTTTCGGCCGTTTTTATACTGGAAACGTTAAAAACAGATGTCTTTCAGAAATCGGCAAAAAGTGGGATTTCTCAAAAAATTCTGAATGCAGTTTACATTCTAGGCCTGTTTTATTCTGTCCAATGTTTTCAAAGTGATCGGAACATGATCAAAATGACATTGACCGGTGAACCCAAAATTTGTCAAAGTTTCGATATTATCCAAGTATAACCGTGTTTATACTCATTTTGAAGTTCTTGCCAAGCTAAATTCGAAAAAAAATACAAAAACTCAAGAATATGTTGTCCTTCTTTTTAAACAAATGCGAACGGACCACGAACGGACTAAAAACGGACCGAAAAACTGGAAGACCCCTAACTTTCTTCAAAACATTAATTTATTAAACCAATTAAATGGAAATAATAGGGAAACTCAAGAGCTTCAAAATGAGTATAAACACGACTATGTTCATTTAAAGTTGAAATTTAACATTAAAGGCGCAAAGCTGGTTCAAAACTTGAAAATCAAGGAAATTAGGCCCTGATTATACTCATTTTGAAGCTCGTAGCATGGGGATTTTAAAAATATAATTATTACAGAAGTCTAGCTTACAAAAATATTTAAAAAGTTGAACTTTGTCAATAAACAAAGTTATAGGTCTCTCACGGATCACAAACGGACCACGAACGGACCACAAACTGGGCAAAAACTGGAAGACCCGTAACTTTAATAAAATAATAATGACTCACCTGATTCATGGTTCCCGCATCGGAGCTCGGCGTCCTCCTGAGCAATTGAAGATGTGCCCAATCGTTATGATTTCTAGAAATGAGTGCGGCTGTTGTTGCGGGGGCGATGTAGAATGCGGACAAATGTCCGGCCAGAAATTTTCCCCGGGGATGCATTTTTTGGTCCTTTTCTTTTTATATTCTTCTGAGGAGGGGTGACAAAAAGGGAGAGTTGTCACCCAGAGAGTTTTTTCTATTTTTAAGAAAAATGGGGAGGCAACAAGTGAGAGAATATATATGAGAAAATATGAGTGGGAGAATATGAGCAACATTTCTTCGATTCTTTTAACGGGTCACTGAACTTTTTGGGCGCCAGAAAATTCCGGAAATTTGGGTTTATATAGATTTCCCCATTTTTGGGGCGTGCACTTTTGAGAAGGACAAACGGGGAAATTTGTAAACAATTTGGGGTTTTTTTTCTGGGAATTTTATGGAATTCGTTTTTTTTTCCATTTTGGAGAAATGTAAACAAGGAAGGGGAATCGAAAGATGAATTATAGGAGAACAATGGTTTTGGGAAATATTCAGATTTTTGGAAATTAGAAACATTTTTAAATTTTCCTATTGTTTGAAACTTTGACGATAAAAGGAAAAACCTGATTTTCGAATTTTCGGATTTTTTGAAGTTGTGGATTTTTTAGAATTTTTCAGTTTCAAACTTTGAATCTTGAAAATTTTGAATTTTGGATTTTCGGAACTTTCTGATTTTTGTACTACACGAATATGAGGAATTTAGCAATTTTCGGATTTTTGAATTTTCTGAATTTTCAGACTTTTGGAAACTAACTTCAGAATTTCAGAATTTCAAAACTTCCCAACTTCAGAATTTCAGAACTCTAGAATTTCAGAATTTCAGATTTTCAGATTTTCAGTTATCCAAAATTCCGATGTTTCAAGAACATTTTTGATTTTCAAAAAAGTCTTGTTGAACCAAAATTTAGATTTTTGAACATCTCAATTTTTTGGACTTTAGGATTTTCGGATTTTTGGATTTTTGGATTTTCAGATGTTCAAAATTCAGAATATCAAAATTTCAGAATTTCAAAATGGGAGAATTTCAGAATTTCGGAAATTCAGAATTTCAGAATTTCAGAATTTCAGAATTTCAGAATTTCAGAATGCCAGAATTTCAGAATTTCAGAATTTCAGAATTTCAGAATTTCAGAATTTCGGAATCTCAGAATCTCATAATCTCAGATTCTCAGAATCTCGGAATCTTGGAATCTCAGAATCTCAGAATTTCAGAATTTCAGAATTTCAGAATATCAAAATGTAAGAATTTCAGTTTTGGGAATTCTCTGACTTCACAAGCAATAAGGATGTGTTGGACTTTCCAACTATCATATTGGCAAGAAGAAGGTTCCCAAGTTTCTCTCTCTCTCTCTCTCTGTCTCTCTCTCTCTCTCTCTCTCCATCCCACTCCCAAATAAAGTTATGAGTCTCTTAGAAAATTGTCGTAACCCAAAAAAATCCTATTAGTTGAGCCAATATTTGTACAAAAATCGGGGTGTCGACTAGGCATAAATCAATGTTCTCAATTTCCGCCGAGAGAAAGGTAATGTGGGTGGAAATTATTGCTCATTCATAGACACCCCACACCCACACAAAGACAAGCTTTTCTGAGTAATACAGAAAAAGAGAAATTGTCATTTGGGGTTAGGTTAGTCACTCACTTTTCCTGGATTTTTAGAACTTTCTTGTGAAATTTTTCGATTTTTCTCACTGGTTAAACCTTCACCCTCATCTAAACGTCATTAATAATATGTACATAAAGCGTGCCCAGTGGCCCAGAAATCCTTTTTCAGATTCTCGGCCATCCAAGGTGGCCTAGGATCCGAACCCAGCGCAGGAATATAAAGTCTAGTTCATTCTGATCATTTACTAGCTTCCAGTGGCCTAGAAATTCAAATTGGCGTTTTCTAGGCCATGGTTTCAAGCGGTATATATCTTTTCGACGAATTTGACCAAAAAAGTTTTCAACTACAAAATTGAAGCTCTAATTTTGTTTGGTATAGTCTTGAACTTTCAGGCATATCGAAAAATCTTGAACAACTTTTCCAGGATTTCAAAATTGACTATCTTGCACTTATGAAGTAAAACTACACTTTTTGTTTCGTACTGTAGACCATAGTTGCAAGCAACCCGGTCCGGCTGAGAACTTTTCCCTAGTACGAGATATTCAGACAGTTTTGATACCAAATGATAGATCTCAACAGTGTCCATCACGCCCGTATCATTCGAGTCGGCTCCCGGTCCGATAACATGTCGAAAAATGTGGAAAAATGTTTGAATAACAATTTTCGACCAATTTGACAAAAAGCAAATTTTTTTGTCATTCAAACCCATTTTTCGACATGTTATCGGACCGGAATCCCGCTCAAATGATATAAAGGTGATGGCCCTTGTCGAGATCTATCATTTGGTACCAAAACCGTCCGAATATCTTGTTTTAGAGACAAGTTATCAGCCGGCCCGCTTGCAACTATGGTCCTCAGGGGTCTTGGCCACGGTCGGCCAAAGTTGGGCGGTCGTTGAGCCGCCATTGACAAATGAGGACGGTTTTTCGAAAATAAGCGAAACAAAATGGCAAAATATTCTTTGGAAAAAATGCATTTTTTTGTCGGCCACCCAATTTCCCAAGTCGAAATATCCTAAGTTTATGCTTGACATGTTTTATTCTCCTCTCCCTATTTCTTTTTAATGGTCACTGTAGTTCTAGTTCATTCTATTATTTTACATTTCCTATCACTAGAATTCATTATTTATCCATTTGGAATCTGATTATCATGTATTTTAATGTTTTTTTTCCTTTTTTTTCACGATTCTTGCAATCGTAAATAAATAAATAAATAAGTTTCTTTGTCCACTTCTGCAGATTTCTGGATTGAGGACATCCGGACAAACAGATGAGCAACAATAAATTTCTGGTGTGGATAATGTTTGTTCTTTATTTCCAATATACTGTACCGGTCATACAAAAAACAGCCATTTTCAGAAATCTGGAGATCGGCTCTCAAGATACTGTATGTTTTTGTGCCCTATTCAAAATCTATTCAACTTGATTAACGTATATTTCTAGTTACTACATAACACCCATAACTCATAGTTACCTAATTTGCCAAAAAGATGGTCCTCTAATAGTTCCTTGACCTGCCTCCCCCCTTTTCCTCTTTTCTCCACCCCAGAACCCATAAATCTTCTGATCCCCTAAGCCACACTTGACACCTGGAGACTCTTCTCCTCCTCCCCCATCATCATCATTCTAATACACTTTCAATAACAAATTCCTCTCGTTTTTCTACGTTTTTTTGCTCCGACTCAGAAGAATGGATGATCAAAATCTCATTTTTTGAGTCCACATGTTGTGGCTTTTGTTGTGTCTGTCTGTGTGTCCTACCATATGGTAATTAATTGTTTTTTTTTTAATGGGCGGTACGACATCAAAGAGATACTTGACAGTGTTGCAAGATGGATTTTTTGGAATTAGGAAAGGAAAGAATAATTTGAGGTTCTTCTCTTTTTTTTTGTTTCTTTTTGAGATGGGCAGTTTATTGGAGGCATTGGTGAATTTTGGGAAAGGTATTTTTTGAATTTTTGGATTTTTCTGTAATTCCACATTTTAAAATTACTGAAAATCCATTTTTTCCGATATTCCGAATACCGCAAATTTTGAGCTCAATTATCTTGGTTCATGTTAAAGATATCAAAAAGTGGTAAACTGATAAAATGTTTATTTAAATATCAGTAACATTTTATCAGTTAACCACTTTTTAATATCTTTCACAGAAAATGAGATATATAGGCTCAAAGTTAACTGGTTGGGTGGCCTTCTATTAGAGTGTTTACGGTATTTTGATTGACAGATTTGTTAGTTCTTTAGATTCCAACATTCTGAATTTTTCGGAGATTCTGATTTTTTGAGTTTTTGGAATTTCGAAATTCTGGAATTCCAAAAAATGTTATAGTTCAAAGTTATAGTTCGGATTCTATGATTCGGACGTTTTTTAGATTCTCAAATTAACAATTTTAAGAGTCTCAAGATTTCTAAATTTTCAAATTTCAATGTTATTCTTTATCCATGTTTTTGGTTATTTCGAAATCCCTAACTACCGTAAAACCTGTATTAGAAGGGCCGGCCCTTCTATTGTTCCAAGGTACCTCGTAAGGGCCCTTCAATTAGAGGGGGCCCTTCTATTTCTCCGGCCTGTTTTTTCCGAAATTTTGCATGATTTCAAAACACATTTTGAAGGGGGCTCTTCTATTACAAGGGGCCTTTCTATCAAAGGAGGCCCTTCTATCTTTTCGAGCCCCTCTCGGAGGGCCCTTCTATTAAAGGGACCCTTCTAATACAGGTTTTACGGTATTTACCTAGAATCTTCTCACCATCCTAACCTTACTCCATTGATATTCAAGTTTTCTCATCATTCAAATTCTTTTGTATCATACGAAAATCTGCCGCGCTTAATATCAAAAGGGTCCCCCCTCCTCTTCCATCTCTATTGTAAAAAATGCCTATGATTCACATGGTATTCTTTTTCGTCTTCCTGCACAAAGAGCCCTGGAGAGAGAGGGAGAGAGAGAGAGACGCAGACAACGATGCTCTTAGATTCTTAGTCTTATCAGCAGCACCGTCTTTTCAGACACAGCCACCCACACAAATTTTCGAAAAAAAAATTTTTGTATACGGAGCAAACCGTCCTCATGTGCTCAAAAAAAAATTTTTTTTTGGTTTTTTTCTTCATTTGATATCATAATTTTGTGAACAACAGGAAGTCATAAAAATTTGGTTTTTTTTTGTTGAAAAAAGATTTTTTGAATTTTTTGGACTTTAAAATTTGAGCCCTTTTTTTAGATACATTTTTTTTGAATTTTCAAAATTTCTCTAACTTTTTAAAACGCTAAATTTGAGCTCAGAATTTCTAGAATCTTTGTCTCTTTATGATTTTTTTAATTGAAAAAAAAAATTGCCCTATATGTTTTTTGTAGGATGAATCAGACAAAATAGAAGAAGACAAACATGAGAGAAGGCATGGGAAACAGTCCTAACGGATGTGAAGAGCTCTGGAAATCTTGCAAGTTTTTGCTTTTTGTAAAAATTCAAGTTTTTTAGAAACTTCTTGCTAATTCTATGGAAAAGAGCTTTTAAATGAGCTCAAAAAACGTCATTTTTCGAAAATGTGCTATTTCGGTTCCTGTGAAAGATATCAAAAATTGGTCAACTGATAAAATATTGGTGATATTATGATAAACTTTTCATCCGTTGACAATTTTTTGATATTGTTTTCAGGAAATGAGATATCTGAGCTCAAAGTTAGAGGTGTTACTGTATGATCCTTAGGATGCTGACCAGAAAAGTGGCCTGCTTTTTTAGTTATTTTTAAAGTAAGCAAGTCAAATTTAACATGATTTCAATCTGTAATATCTGCCAAATCCAAAAATCAAAATTTCAAAAATATTGGTGAACTAGGCGCTGAGTTATATGCCCTGAAAGCTAGCTTATCACTTCGAAGTCTTAACTGAAATCTTGTGATTGAAGGTCCCTCCACTTTGAGCCTATATATCTCAGTTTCTGGGTAAGATATCAAAAAGTGATCAACTAATAAAATATACCTGATATTGTGATAAACGTTTTATCAGTTGACAATTTTTTGATATCTCTTATAGGAACCGAGATAAAACGGCTCAAAGTTAGAGAGGAGATACTGTAAGTGGCGTTCCACTAGACAGGACTTCTCTTTGAACGCCTATCCCAAACGGAAGTAGTCCTAGCTAAACACCCAAAATACCAAAAAAAAAAAAAGTTGACCTCCAATTTATTTTCACACAATTGGACACAAGAAAGTCATCATCCATATTGTTGTAGGTACCTGTAGTAGAACGGTAGGGGGTCGATCGGAAACCACTCGGGCGCCTCACCAATAAAACATTTTTTTTCTCTTCCCCACTTTTTTGAAGTTTTGGAACTATTTAAATCCCCCGGCTATTCTCTGCGTCTCTTTTTTTGAAATTCGATTTTTCTGTGCCTCTCTCTCTCTCTCTCTCTCATTCTCAGTTTACCTCATAACTTGTTGATAGACCAAAAACTGCCCTTTTTCTGTGATTTGTAAAATGAACAATTTCCAGAAAATACTATGAGATTTCTATTTCTATTCCTTCTATTCTTAATATTTGATTCTTCGGACTGTAAGGATAACAATATTTCTACATCATCAACATCTCCGAAGGTTCGAAAACGACAACGACCACCGGTTGTGGTCCGGGAGTGTGAGTTTTTGGAATTTTGGAATTTTGAAAATAATTTAAATAGATTTAGCTGTTGAAGAGCTTCAAAATGAGTATAAATATGAAATTAAATTTTTTTCAAATTTGATTTTTATATTTAAAAATCTTTAGGGTTTCTGAATTTCTGAATTTCTGAATTTTATAATTTTGGATTTCTTGGAATTTTCGGAATTTAAGATTCTGATAGTCTGAGTTTCTGACGTTCTGAAGTTTCGAAATGTTGAAGTTTTGGAGTTTAGAAATTTCGAAACTCTGAAATTCTGAGATTCTAAAATCCTGAAATTCTGAAATTCTGAGATTCTGACATTCTGAAATTTCAAAATTTTTAAGTTTTGAAGTTTAATTTCTGAAAATCAGAAATTCCGAATTTTTGCAATTTTCTGCTTTTTAGATTTTTCAGAATTCTAGAACTAATGCATTTCTGACATTCTACGATTCCGAAATTTGGAAGTTTTGAAGTTTGGAAATTCTGAAAATGTGAAAATCCGAAATTCTGAATTTGTGACATTTTGAAATTTTGAACTTTTGAAGTTTTGAATTTTGTTTTTTGAAATTCTGGAATTTTGCGATTTCCTGATTTTTGCGATTTTTCAGAATTTTGGAATTTTACTCTTCAATTATTTACTAACTTTGTGGAACTAGTTTTTATATAATTTTTTAGTTTTTCAAAATTTAAAACTTTTTAATTACCCTCTAATTATCTTCTAGGGAGCATAGACGAAGTGGATGGTGAGTTTCAAAAATCCCCAAAAACATTTCTCCAAAAATTTTCCAATGTTTCTGTGATGTCCTCCTCTCGTGATGTACAATAGATTTAATTACCCTTTCCTAATTGGGCCCTTCTTAATTGGTCTCTACTACACCCCGCACCAAAAAATCTCGTTAAATGAGCACTTTGGGAAAATGAAAAATGAAAATTTTGTTTGAAATTGAGATAGCAGCCTCGAGGAGCATTTCTATTTGGGTAAAAGCGAGAGAGTGTGGGAAAATGAGAGAGTGGTTAGAGAAAGAAAATTTTAAAAAAAAGTGGAGGTTGCTCATTCCTTCTAGATGGGAGGCGTAGTACTGATGCGACCTATCAGTTTTTCGCTATTTTTATTGATTTTATTAATTTTGTGCGAGCATGGAAATGCACAATTATGGAGAAGGTGTGAGCCGGAAGTTGGATGTGGTTGGTTTTTTGAGATTACTGTAGAAAGTTATTTTTTGAAAATTTTGAATTTACATTTTTTAAAAGATTTTTCTTTAAAAATTCAGAAAATCCGGATATATTCAAGGAATTGTAAAGCTTGAATTTATAAAAAAATTGAAATTCTCAAAATTTCAGATTTTCAATATTTCCGAATTTCTGAATTTCTGAATTTCAGGAGTTCAGAATTTCCGAAATTTTTTGAGTCGGAATTTCAGAGTTTTAGAATTTGAGAAATTCGGTATTCCTTTGAATTTCTGAATTTCTGAATTTCTGAATTTTTAAATTGCTGAATTTCAGAATTTCAGAATTTCAGAATTTCAGAATTTCTGAATTTCTGAATTTCTGAATTTCTGAATTTCTGAATTTCTGAATTTCTGAATTTTTGAATTGCTGAATTTCTGAATTTCGGGAGTTCAGAATTTCCGAAATTTTTTGAGTCGGAATTTCAGAGTTTTAGAATTTGAGAAATTCGGTATTCCTTTGAATTTCTGAATTTCTGAATTTCTGAATTTTTAAATTGCTGAATTTCAGAATTTCAGAATTTCAGAATTTCTGAATTTCTGAATTTCTGAATTTCTGAATTTCTGAATTTCTGAATTTTTGAATTGCTGAATTTCAGAATTTCTGAATTTCTGAATTTCTGAATTTCTGAATTTCTGAATTTCTGAAACTCAAAAAAAACATGATTTTTGGGGATTACAGTAGTTTATTTTTCTAAGGGTTGTTGTAGATAGGTTTTAAGGATTACTGTAGTTTCATTTTTTTCTATAATTCTTAGTACAATCTCTCTGTACCCTTGTCTCTTTCCAGACATGTGACTGAAACATTTCGCCCGCTTATCAGAGAAAAAAGGTTTTAATGATCTATAATTTTGAATTTTTTAAAAGTTCTGACTGTTTCAGAAAAAATCCCCATTTTCCCAATTATCCAAAAAAAGATGCATCCCCAGTGTTGAAAAAAGTTTCTCAAAACTCACGCAAATTTCATGATTTTCCAAAAAAAAATTTTTTTTTTTTGCAGTCTGCTCCGGCACCACCAATGGAATCTCTCGCTATGGATCGGGCAATATTTTGGAGGATCTGGAAAGGGTAAATTTTTGAAAAAGTTGATTTTTTGAAAAAAAATAACAATTTTGTTCCTGGTGGCAGATTTTTCGTTTGAATTCTCTAAAAGATGAATAGCCGCAGGCGAAAATTTCGAAAAAAAACATCAACAATAAAAAAGAAGATTCCAGATGTACCCGGGATGTCGTCGAGTATATGGTAACCTAGAAATCACATGGATCGAAGAGAACGAAATCAAAAAATGGAGAAAATCGAAAAATCAAACGGTCGAAACCCCGGAAGATGAGACTTCGTTGAAATCTGTCAACTTTTTTGATCATTTGGAAGAGGTGAGCAATGAGAGACATCGGGACACTCGGAAACACAGACAGACGTTTCAGATTCGCGGAAGTTTGATCATCTATAGAGCGAATATTCGGAAAATCTCGTTTCCAAAATTGCGAGTCATTTATGGAGACGAAGTTTTTCATGATAATGCACTTTATATCCATAAAAATGAGAAAATTCATGAGGTGGTGATGAAGGAGTTGAGAGGTGAATTTTGGTTTTTTTTTTAAATTTTAACATGAAATGCCGAACAGTATCCTAGTCCACCCATACCATCAACTTTGGGCACAATTAACTCGATTCCTATAAAAATATCAACATTTTGTAAACTGATAAAATGTTTATTATAATATCAGCAATATTTTATCAGTTGACAGATTTTTAAAATCATTCACAGGAATCAAGATTATTGAGCTCAACGTTGCTTGACGGCTAGGTGCAACTGTATTGGAACTAGTCAGCGGCGGCTCATCGGCGGCTCAGATAGGCTTTCCATTTTGAGCGCAATTATCTCTGTTGCTTCGAAAGATATCAAAATTTTGTCAAGTGATGAAATATTCACCATGATACCACAAACATTTTATCAGTTGACAGATTTTCAAAATCTTTCACAGAAATCAAGATAATTGAGGTCAAAATTGCTTAATTTAATGGCAGCTCATCGGCGACTCAAATAGGCTTTCAACTTTGAGCACAATTATTTCAGTTCCTATAAAAGATATCAACATTTGTTTTATTGATAAAATGTTTATCAGAATATCACCTATATTTTATCTGTTGACAGATTTTAGATATCTTTTATAGAAAGTGAGATAATTGAGCTCAAAATTGAAGATTTGGGTGGGCTCCTATCAGAGGAAATATAGTATATTTTGTTTTACAATTTCTACAATTTTTGATCTACTTGTTTCTAAAAATTTCTTTTTACAGTAATCCGAAACGGGTCAGTCACGATTCAGGAGAATCCGAAAATGTGTTATCTGGCGGATAAAGTGGATTGGAATGAGCTGTTATACGATAGCTCTAGACAGACTGTGGAGACGTCGAAATCACATGAGCAATGCTATAAAAATGGGGAATCAATTGTGAAGTGTCACGAAAGTTGTAATGAAAAGTGTTGGGGAACTGGAGAAGGCGATTGTCAGAGAGGTAAGGGTTTTGGATGGATTTTTGAGAATTTTAGATGTCTAAAAATATATAGTAGATTTTTCTGGATCTTTCTGAAAGTTTCCAGGGATACTAAACAAAAATAGAGCTTCAAATAGTTAGTTGACAGGATCCCAGAGTCCCTGGGTCCCAGAGTCCCTGGGTCCCAGAGTCCCTGGGTTCCTGAATCCCTGAATTCCTGAATTCCTGAGTCCCTGAATCACTGGAATCACTGGATTCCTGGGTCCTGGGTCCTGGGTCCTGGGTCCTGGGTCCTGGGTCCTGGGTCCTGGGTCCTGGGTCCTGGGTCCTGGGTCCTGGGTCCTGGGTCCTGGGTCCTGGGTCCTGGGTCCTTTTCAAATATTCCCATTCCCTAATTTTCAGTCTACCGCTCTGTGTGCCCCAAACCATGTTCCCAATGTTTCTTCTCGAATATCACTCAATCTTCTGAATGCTGTGATTCATCATGTCTTGGTGGATGTACAGATCATGGACCAGACAGTTGTATAGCATGTAGCAAATTCGAAATGGACGAAAAGTGTGTGGACGCGTGTCCGGCTCGAAAAGTTTTCAATCATAAGCTGGGGAAATTGGTCAATAATCCGGATGGAAGATATCAAAATGGCAATCATTGTGTTAAAGAGTGCCCAAGTGAGTTTTTTTGTAAATTTCATGTTTTGGAAAATTTTGAAAAATTCAAAGTTAAGCTCAAATAGAAGCCGGCCCTGACCATCAACTTTGAGCTCAATTATCTCATTTCCTGTAAGAGATATCAAAAAGTGGTCAATTAAGAAAATATTGGCAATATTATGATAAATAATTTATCAGTTGACAAATTTTTGATAGCTCTTTCAGAAACTGAGATAGTTAGGCTCAAAGGAAACGTAGAGAGTGAGATTCTATCAGAGGGAATACGGTAAATCTGCTTGTCTGTTTGTCAAGGTGTCCAAATCTTTCCAAGATTTTTTTTGGAAGTATAATTTTTTTCGAAATTCGGGAAGTTTTGAAAATCCTGATTTCTGAATTTCGAAATTATTATGATTGTGCTCAAAGTTGACGGTTTTTGAGCTACGAGAACATGAGAACAAATACGGTTTCAAAAGTTGAGTATCTTCAAAAATTTGACTCTTGGAATTTCATATAATTAGAATCTAAATTTTAAAAAATATTTCAAGCAAAAAATTTCAGCGGAACTGCTAATCGAAAACGACGTCTGTGTCCGTCACTGCTCCGAAGGGCATCACTACGACGCATTCAAAGATGTGAGAGAATGTGAAAAGTGTCGAGGGTCCAATTGTTTGAAAAGTGAGTTTTTCGCTTCGAAGAGATTCAAAAAAATTGGGAGAAATGACAGAATAAAAATGACAAGCGACACTTTTTAGTGTCAAAAATTTTTTTGAGAAAATCAGTTTTTTGACATTTTGACATCTCTGAAAATTACTAAAAATAGGTTTTCTAAAAATTCTGAATTTCTGAATTTCAGAATTTTCGAATCTTAGAATTCTGAGTTTTTGAATTTCAGGATTTTAGAAATTTAGAATTGTTTGAATTCAAAAATTCATTCTGTTCTGAAATTTAAAACCTCTGAAACTCTAAAATTCTAAAGTTCTAAAAGTTTTTGAAATTCAGAAAGTTTAAAAAACAATAAAAATTTTGAAAATTCTAGAAATTAAGAAAAAATTCAAAAATTCAAAAATTCAAAAATTCAAAAATTCAAAAATTCAAAAATTCAAAAATTCAAAAATTCAAAAATTCAAAAATTCAGAAATTCAAAACTTCAGAAATTCAGAAATTCAGAAATTCAGAAATTCAGAAATTCGGAAATTCAAAAATCCAAAAATTCAAAAATCCAAAAATTCAAAAATTCAAAATGTCAAAAATTCAAAAATTCAAAAATTGAAAACTTCAAAACTTCAGAAATTCAAAACTTCAGAAATTCAGAAATTCGGAAATTCGGAAATTCGGAAATTAAGAAATTCAGAAATTCAGAAATTCGGAAATTCAGAAATTCAGAAATTCAAAAATTCAAAAATTCAAAAATTCAAAATGTCAAAAATTCAAAAATTCAAAAATTCAAAACTTCAGAAATTCAGAAATTCGGAAATTCAGAAATTCAGAAATTTAGAAATTCAGAAATTCAGAAATCCAGAAATTCAGAAATTCAAAAACTCAAAAATTCAAAAATTCAAAAATTCGGAAATTCTAAAATTCTAAAATTCGGAAATTCAAAAATTCAAAATTTCAAAATTTCCCAAATTTTCAGTGTGCACGGTGGACAATCAGCCGCTAACCAAGGAAATTCTAAAAGGGCTAAAAGGATGTGAACAGATTGATGGACCACTAATTATTGAAAATGGGTATGTCTTCTTTTTTTGTTCAAGTGGTCCTTAAAAAAACTTTTTTTTTGAATCCTGGAAGAAATTTGTGAAAACTCATTGAAAAAGAAGACAAATGGAGCATAGAATAGGAGGGGGATTATGGGGCTACTCAACCGTACATAAATATTATTGTTTTTAAAGAGAAAAGAAGAGAAATTTCTCGTTTCCGCTTCCAAAATGGTGGGAGGGGACAAATGATTTGGTTATGACTTTACTTTGTGGTTGTGTTTGAACCGAAATAATGCAGGAATTTAGAAAATTGAGAAGAGACTGCAGTTATTTATAGTGAAATCGTAGAGCTTTTCGGTTTTACAGAATTCTCAAAAATCCCGCTTCATATTGGTTCAAAAATAAAGTTTCTAGCACATTTAGAAGCCAAGGTACAGCGATTTGAAGTTTTGGAGAGACGCAGACGACGAGACACGCTGCGTCTCTAATTTCCCAAACTTCAATCGACTAGGGCTACTTTTTTTTGCTGGTTTAAGATTTTAAAAAATATGAAAAATTTGGGATTTTTCAAAAAATTTTAAATTCTCAAAAACGCCAAAAATCATGAAAACGGGAAAATTTGCTTTGATTCTGTTAAAGTTCAAACTTTCTAGTACATCTAAAAGCCGTCATATAGCCATTGAAAGTTTTGACGGCTAGAGACGCAGACGACGAGACACACTGCGTCTCTAACTTCCTAAATTTCAAACGACTGTATCTCGGCTCCTAGACGTGCTAGGAACATGTTTTTTGCACAGAAATATAAAATTTTCACATGCAAAATTCTAATTTCCATATTTCATGATTTGAAGAAACCTAGAATTTTCCAATTCATTGTTTTCAAGAATCCTGGAGTTTTCAGAAATTCTCAAATATGACAAGTCTCTATATGTTTTTTTTTTCAATTTTTTCACATTTCCAAATTCCAGACTATCTCACGAGGACCTGAAAGTTCTGGAATCTGTGAAAATCGTGAGCGAGTACATCACCGTCGTCCGCCAGGAGTTCTTCAACATGAGCTTCCTGCAAAATCTTCAAATCATCGAAGGACGAAAACACCAGCACATGCGATGGGCGTTGGCGATTTATCAGAATGATAATTTGGTTGAATTAAATTTAAACTCGCTGAAACTAATCAAAACCGGAAGTGTGATTATCAGTGATAATCATCGATTGTGTTATGTTGGAACAGTAGATTGGAGTACGATTATACAGTCGAAAGGCGAAAATGGGCGGCCGCATATCAAGACTGTTGGGAATCGAGATAATTGGATGTGTGGTAAGAATATTAGAAAAAATGTTTTTGAAATTATTGGGGGAATACCCATTCTGCGCCGATTATTCTTGAAATAATTTTTTGGTTGGTCCATGGCGGCTTTTCAGTGGCATACCGTAATTAAACACTCTAATAGAACGCCACCCGAATCGTCAAATTTGAGATTAGTATCTCATTTTCTGTAAAAGATATCAAAAAGTGTTTCACTGATAAAATATTGCTAAATTTATGATAAACATTTTATTAGTAGATAACTTTTTGATATCTTTCAAAAGAAGGGAGATATTCAGACTCAAAGTGGACGGCCCGGGTGGCGTTCTATTAGAGTGCTTACCGTCATTTTTGAGCTCAATGATCTCAGTTTCTGTGAAAGATATCAAAAAGTAGTCAACTGATAAAATGATAATCATAACATAACTAATATTTTATCAATTGACACATTTTTTGATAGCTTTCGAAGGAACCGAGATAGTTAAGCTCAAAGTTGAGGTTTTGGATGGGCTCCTAGTAGAGGAAATACAGTGGTCTAGTTTGAAATCCTGGAAAAGTAGCTCAGAATTTTCTAATTTGCTTGAAAATTGAAAAGCATATTAAACAAAAATAGAGCTTCATTTTTGTAGTTGACAACTTTTTTGTATGTATTGAAGAAAACGAAATAGGCGGTTTTGAACGGAATTACCAATTTTTTTTGCCATTTTTGGTCCCTTTTTTTCCACTATGATCTTGTATGGGCTCATTTTGAAACTTCCAAGTTGACAATTCAAAAAAACTACCGTTTTCAGTCCAAGAAGAGGAAGTATGCGATCCGAACTGCAATAAACGAGGATGTTGGGGAAAACGGCCAAACGATTGTCTGGAGTGTCGAACTTGGAATAATATGGGGTCATGTGTTTCAAAGTGTGATACTGTAGGGTGAGTCACATTTTCAGCTCAATTTTGGTTCAAAAATTGAGTATCTAGCACATCTAGAAGTCGAGATACAGTCAATCAAAGTTTAAAGAGACGCAGACAACGATAAACTCTAACTGTCTGCGTCTCTTCAAAACTTCAAACCGTTGTATCTTTGCTCCTAGCGTAGCTAGAAACTTGCTCCTTTTTCCAATTGATAGCATTTTTTAGATTCCTCCGAAACCAAACTTCCATGCGGTGTCAACCATGCTCTCCAGAATGTAAAACTTGCAATGGAATCGGAGAATTCGATTGTCTGTCGTGTAGACATTTCACACTTTACAATCCGGAATTTGGAAATCGTATGGAATGTGTTGAAAGCTGCCCAAAGGCTACATATTTCTCAACGGAAGACGATGTTTGTGAGAAGTGTCATGCCACGTGTTATGAGAATGGGTAGGTGGTTGCCCCGTAGCCTCCTGGCCTACAGTACCCGAACACAAAGATATGTATTTTCTTTAATTGAACCCCCAACAGCCAAACTATCAACTTCGAGCTAAAATATCTCGGTTCCTATGAAAGATATCAAAAATTTGTCAACTTATAAAATGTTGGTGATATTATGATAAACATTTTATCACTTGACACATTTCTGAAATCTCTTATAGGAGCCGAGCAAATTGAATTCAAAAATTGAAATATGCTTTTTTACAGGTGTACCGGTCCATCATCCAACCTGGGTCCTGGCGGATGCAACAAATGCAAATACGCAGTAAAGTACCAAAACGGTACAGTAACCTGTCTTAAGGCAACTGGTACCAACAGTGTGTGCTTTGAGAATAATTTGCCACATTTCCATATTCATCCAATGGATATTGATGGGGTTACGGATTCGGTAAGCATTTGGAATTTTTGAGAAGTTCTGCTTTAAGCTCAATTATCTCAATTTCTGTAAAAGCTGTGAACTGATAAAATATTAGTGATATTATGATAAACAATTTATCAGTTGAAAATATTTCGATATATCTCATGGGAGCCGAGATAATTGAGCACAAAGTTACTGTAAATAAATTCTTCTAGACTAGCAATTCAAGTTCAATCTTTGAGCTGAATTATCTTGATTCCTGTAAACGATGTCAAAAACCTGTCAACAGATAAAATATTTGTGATATTAAGATGAACAATTTATCAGTTAAAAATATTTTGGTATGTCTCATGGGAGCCGAGATAATTGAGCACAAAATTGTATGTGTGCTTCTATTAGAGCAAATACGTTAGGTTATTGGGATTTCGAAAAATTAATTTAGAAAAAAGCAAAAGCTTGTTAATACTCGTTGTGAAGCTCGCAACAAAAGAAATTTGAATTTTTCAATTATCTCTGTTCAACTTCAGCACTGCGAAGAATGCCACCCCTTCTGCAAAACGTGCTCCTCATTCGGTCGGAACAAAAATGGAAATGGTTGTGTCTGCAAAGAGTACGAGTATCATGTAAACGCGGTTGAGAAAATTTGTGTGGATGTTTGTCCAACAAACACTTTTCTGATTGCTGACAACACGACGGGTTACGGTATTTGCAAAAAGTGTCATGAGCAATGTGATCAGAATTATCCATGTGTGGATGCTCTTCCAACTGGCTGCACATTGTGTAAATCGTTTTCGGTGTTAAATGAGGATTCGAGGGTAAGGGATTTTCATAAATTCAATTTGACAAGAGCTTCAAAATGAGTCTACGTTTCTTGGTCACAGGTAAAATGCGAACGGGTCCGTTACGGAAGCTTCGCGCTCGTGCGCGGTTGAAATAGGAACCGCATACGGACCGTACGCGAACCGTTTTTAGTAAATAGTAAAAATAAAAATAATCAGATGTTTTATTGTGTTCGCAAACGGATCCGTTTGGTC